CCCCCCCCCCCCCCCCCCTCTCCCCCCGCACACGGGCGAGAGATCGATCGAAATGGGTTGGGCTGGGCACAGGAGAGGCCTTGGCGGGCTGGGAGGGGATGATGAGGGAGTGGTGGGGTAGGGAAAGTGGGGGGCCAAAACGGGGGATCACGTGGCTGGGAGAGGAAGCCAGAAGAGGAAGGGGCGACAGAATGCAAGGAGGCGCTTGCTTCAGTCCCAGCAGCTGCGTTTATTGGTCCTGGCATAGGCAGGAAGCTTGCCTGAAAACCACGCCAGTCTCCTCCTCTCCTCGGGCACCTCACTGGGTGGTGGGCAGGCGTAAGAATTCCTCCCCATCTGCCAGGGGAGAAAAGAGGCGGGTTGGTCCCAGGGAGAGGGAGAAGGTCTCCATGGTCAGCCAGCCAGACTTTCTCCAGGACTGTGAGAGAAGCCGGCTCCCTTGGCCCCTGGCCCTGGCCCCCCCACAGCCCAGCAGGACCCAGAGCCCGGCCGAGCGGGTGGCTTGGCAGGATTTGCTCCTCAGCTTGCAGGACCCAGCTCGTGTGGATCAGGGGCCTTGATGAAAAAGACCCTTCCGCAGGATAAATCTGGCAGGAGCTCTTGTGTAAATAGAAGATGGCACCCTGTTCAAAGAGCAGCCCCCTCCCCCATTTCTCTCTCTCTCTCTCTCTCTGCTGGGAGACCCCCGATCACATCCCCAAACAGAGAACTCTTGGGTCTCGCTGCCAAAGGTTCGCCCTCTGGATGCAGAACCCGCCAAGGGGAGGACCGTACCACCGGGGAAGACGCCGCAGTACTCTTGGCACTCCTTCTCCAGGTAGAACTTGTTGGCGTTCCCTCCGCAGCCCTGGAAGGTGACGCATTTGCCCTGGCTGGCATCGAAGGCCCAAAATTTAGCCTTGCAGGATTCTCCGGGGACAATGGGGAGCCGGCAGGCCGCTGGGGGCAGAGAGGAAAGGAGAGTTTGCCGCGGAGGGTCAGCCGGTGGGGGGCAGGGCTGGGGCCGCCCGGGCCGGCCACTGGCTCACCCTCCGTCCGGCAGGTCTGCAGGCAGTCGCGCTCCGAGTGGAAGTTGTTCTGGTTTCCCCGGCAGCCCCCGAAGTAGAACTTCTCGCAGTTCTGGGACGTGGTGTTGTAGGAGAAGCGGGCCTCCATCCCCAGGCAGGGCCCGGCATCCTGCGGCTGCAGGCAGAAATCTGCAGGGCGGGAGGGG